ATGCTGAAAGATATAAATCAAGTATAAGCAGGTTGGCAACATAATTTTGTTACATTGGTCACATGTACAGTAGAGAGTGGCAGGGATTTTGGTAATTTGAGAGTTTATGCCTTGTACTTAAAGAGGGCAGCACTTTTCAGCTCTAGACAAATAGGTCCAGGGTTGCCTGGTGTCCTACACTTTTTCAGAGAAGCCTGAAATCTAGATTTTATGCCAAAATTTGAAAAGCGCTGTGCAGGTCAAGAAAAACAAGTCTATAGACTATTTGTTTACAATTCTAAAAATGATGAGGATGCTCAGGCAAGAGCTAAGAGGACATTTGTCTGTTGCCGATGCCTAAAGTCTTGTTAGAATGCCCCTTGGCTTCTTAAGTGGGTATACAACAGAGAGAGATCCACTATAATTAGGCGCACTACCCTCCTCCTGATTGCTATTAGGGCTCTCGGCATCCTTATGCTGTGTGATTCCCTGATGCCTGGAGACATCTGTTAATTGTGTTAGGGGAATAGACCTGTGACAGGTGTTCTCAGCAACACCAAACAATAGATATACATGTTCTTTCTGGACAGCAGTTCACATTCTGTTGGTAGAGTTGACTTATAAACACACAACACAGGCAACACTGTAGGATAAATCAACTGGGGCTTAACAATTAAATGCTTTCAGGAGCCAGGCAGGTAAAGAAAATGAGAGAAGGGGGCTGGTTGGGAAAGAAACCATCTAGATGAGATAGATACTCCCTGCTCCATCCTAGCCAATCACGATTACATAGACCTGGGGTCTAGTATTGCCAGATGTTTTGAAATTTCAAAGGGAGCTAAAATACTGAAATTTTGATGTGAAATTTCATAATTCTTAAACACTGTATTAAAAGTGTCTTGGGGATGGAGCAGGCAGTATCTTAAACACTGTATTAAAACTGGCCATCTGGTGACCCCTTTTGCAGTAATTGATAAACCTTAAGTGAATGGCCCATCCATGAAGTGCCATAGAGGGTTAGAGCAGGGAGAGAACAGGTAAAATGTCCTCTTTACCTTTGCACATGCCATTCCCTCTGCCTGGAACACACTTCCCTCATCCCTTTCTAGCCCCCTCGGTGTTTCCTCTTGGAAATCTTCTCTTTATCATTGCAACTCAGTTCAACCACCACTCTCTGAAAGGCCAGCCTTGCTTCCCAAGTCATCTCTAATGCTCCTACAAACGGCTGCTGTAGCACATGCACCACTGCAGTTTGATTTTCTCTTTACTGGACGGTCAGCCTTACTAGGGATAAGGTCTTCCAGGTCAGGGAATATGTCTTTCTTTGGTCTACATTTCTAGTGCTTAATGCCATGCTTGGGCTTGGTTAAGGGCTCAGAAATGCTTGCCAAGGGAATGGAACAGGTTTTAGATTGAAGAGTTTCTCAAAGTTTGATCCGCATACTAATAACTACAGAATCTCTCTTGAATAGTCTGATTCAGGAAGTCTAGAGTCTGTCTCCGAGTCTTGCTTTAAATAAGCTCCCTGGGTGAATTTTATGTGCACTGAAGTTTTAGGACCTCTGGGCTAAACTGTAACCCCCACAAGGAAAGGCTATATTTTCTTCATTGCCTATTATATTCCTAGAGCCTGGCACAGTTCTTGGCATAAAGTAGGCATTTAACATGTATTTGGCTGAATGAATGGATTGACGAATGAATGAAAAGATAAGAATTAAGTTGTACCAGTGCTCTTCAGCCTGCTAATAGAAAGTCCAATTAGTAATTCACTTGTCCCTTTATTTATACTTAAACATAAAGGCACCAAGATAAGCTGAAGAGCTGGTAAGTAACTACCATCTCTGTGAGCACTCTCCTCGACCCCTGCCCCTGTAGGCTTGCAAGAGAGCTCGGGGGAGATCCCAACACATTTGGTTGCTGACTCAATGACTTTATCCCTTAATGTTGGCAGACAAGAAAAGTAAGAAAGGTTGAATGCAAAGAAGACACCAAACTCTCATTTTAGCCAGTGGTATTAGCAATTATCCTCTTCTATATCTTTTGCATCCCCTACCCTATAACTACCACTCCTTTTTAAACCCCTATAGCTAACACATCTAATAGAAATAGTTCCTGTTACACTGCTTCTCCCTTCCCTTCTCCACCCTCTGGTGGAGGGATAATGAATAGCAAAATATATAAGGAAATATCAAATGACTGCAAAAATTATGAAAAATATCCCAAATATTTGGTTACTTATGGAGGTAGGACTGGGCCAGTTAATTTAAGGTACCTACTAGGCCAGATTTCAAAAAAGCACCTGAAATTAAATCTGAATAAGATGTTTTTCCTGTTTTTCCATAAATGATTAATTAACACATCTTACCTAAAGCTCTTCTGCTCCTTTTGACATTTTTAACTCAATTCAAATTGGGACAGACGTATGTTTTCCCAGACCAATGGACCACATGAACACAGCCCCAGAGGGCTCCTAGCCTCATACAGAAATTAACAGAGAATATTCCAGCAGGTCAGGCATTATAATGCTACCATTACCATCCAAATTGCCCAGTACCCTCTCTGATCTTGGAGCTAATGAAGAGGAACTAAAGGTCTAAGCACAAGATAACATTATTGCTTCTCAGACAATCCCCTCAGCAGCGTCTCCCACTGGGTTGCAAGCTACTTGATAGCAAGGGCCTTTTATCATCTCTGTTTTTCTAACGTTCATCTCAGTTGATTGCACTGAAGAAACATTTAAAGAATAACCAAATTCACAGAAACCTGTACAGTGGTATATAGCAGGAATCAAGTTCAAGAACCCAGATTCATTCATTGCAGGTTCACCAACCACAATGGATAGTATCACCTATATCATATTTCAATCTCTCCAATAAATGGCCAACAACCCTACTAGAGATCAAATCTTAGACTGTTACAATAACAATACAGAAGCATCACCTTTTGCCTCAGAACATTTCCTCCTATTTTTGTTATATTATCTTGTCCTGTTAGTCAACATTTTGACAGTGGGATAACAGTTAACTTCTCTTTCCACTAAATTCTGCTGTGGACAGTTCTCAGCAGTACGAATGAACACATGCCAGCCATCTATTCTTGACTCCCTAAGCAAGTAATCTTTCTTGAGTAATGGACCCTTCTGAGAGTATGACAAAAGCTATGGAGTACGACAAGCTATGGAGCCTTTCCCCAGGAAATAAATTAGTATATACATATGTATGTAAAAGATTAAGCGTAATCTCAGGTGGCTTTTAGATACATTGATGCCCATACCCAGATCTCCTACTCTAATACCCTACTCTAAGCCATATAGAAAGGAATGAGAGATTATATGATAAACAAATACTTATACAATATTATTCTAGCTTTCCGGGGAGATGGTTTCACAGAAAAATAACTCAACAATTAAACTTCGTTTTTTTTTTTTTTAAGGGTAGTGAGTAACACAGTTGACAATATTTTCAACCTCAGTATTACCAAAATGCAGAATTGCTATTTTGATTGTTCAGTGGGTCACTCCTGTGCAAAATTACAGCTACAATTTAGAGCACTATTTTTTTCTTAAGTGCTTTATCAGGCCACCGCCTTACAAAACCCAGAAAACTCCCTTTTGCTTCTTGGGAGCAATTGATTAGGTTACCATGGGATTGGTGTATTGATCACAGTGCCCGGGAACATGGATCTTAGGATCAGAAGAACACCATTTACTTCCTGGATGAACTTGGGCAAGATATACAGTTTCTTCATCTCTAAAAGATAACAGTGCTCTGCAGGGCTCCTGTGAGGATTAAATGAGCTAACACATGAAAAGCAATTAGTACATTGCAGAGGCCATAATAGATGCTTGATAAATGGTAATGACTGTTACTATAACTGTCTATAAAAAGCTGATAGTTCCTGACACACAGTAAGTGCTCAATAAATGGAATCTGGTATGATTATAACTACTGGAATTCCTAAATATATTACATTATAAGTGGTTTTAGGGATAGGGAGAATTCTGCATTCTCATTTTGAGCCTCCAAAGCACGTTCAGTTCAAATCATTGTGAGTCTGCCATGAGGAAATGTGGGCAAGAGATCAAGGAAATATGGTCTGTGACTTCTAACATCCGCAGCTCAGCACAAGTCACCAAGTCTACAGTCACACGCAAAACCTATGGTGCCAATTTAATTCAGTTTCGGGTCTCAAACTGTTCTTGCCCATTCTGCTCACACTTCCAGGCTATAATTTCCTCCTTGAGCTTAATCCCAGGAGGGGAAATGTCTCCACTGATTAATTTTTATGTTTTCATCTACCATAAAATGGCAATCACACAACCGTACAGTTTTCTTTTCAGTCCTCGTCAGAAAAACTGAGGATGGTGTTTGTTGCCCACACTTTATAATGCATTCGAGTTCAGATGTCAGAAAATTTTCCCTCCCCTCTTCTTGAGGTCACCTCTGTTCTGTTTTATGCTACAAATGTGTCTTAAGCAATCCATTGTTTCAAAGCATTTGGGAAATAATCATGGCACCGATTTTTAAATAATTATCGGTCATTTCTCCAAATGAGAAAGTGGATATACGACTTCTCACATATCCTTTCTTAACATGCCATAGAGACATTTTCTCCTTTTTTAACTTGTGGACAGGAAAAGGCTTATGCATTTTCGATCACATTCTTCAAGTCAGAACCTTTAATTCTATGTCTCTCAGAAGTTTCCTATGTGTAAAACTTGCAACTGAACCAGAAAACCTCTGCGAGGTAGAGGAAACGCAGTCAACCCAAGTAGTCATTGTGCTGACATTTAAAGTTAGCTGACAGTGAAAAAGCAAACCAATTCCATGAAGCATTGCAGGATTTAAAATACCAACTGATGGAATCACTCAAAAGGCCCTGGGCATTTTTCTTGGAGGGCTTTCTCTTACAAAGACAAATGACAACTCAAGTCGTTTTTGCAACACCAACACCTACCCACAGGCCTTCCTCTCATTGGTCGATTGCAGAAAGAAATCTCAAAAATAGAAGTAATTACTTACATCTATAGGTCATCTCAAAGCTGTCGCTGATGTTCACAATATCAATTTGGGGGAGGAGCTTCGGGGGCTCTGTGAGTTGCGACAAAGCAAATCTAAATGCGGCATGTTCCTGTGACTGCTGGTTTGGAAATAATCCCCCTACGAGGAAAGAAAATGCAACATGGTATCTGGGCTAGAGACAGGGTTATTCCTCATCAGCCCACCACAGAGGGCCCTTTTCTCCCGCCTATTCCCATGCCAAACTTACTAGTTACAGCCCTTAGCAGTGAGAATGAGAGTTCCAATAGATGCAACTAGACACTGAGGCTTAAACTTCTCCAGAGGAGCTTTTATGTGACCCATCACTCTACCCAAATATTTGATTGTTCACCCCTCAACTCAGCTCAGGTCAGAGAAAACAGAAGAGCTATGGAATTTCTCTTCTTTCTCCCTTGTGCAAACCACCTAGGTGGCCTATGCTTTTGCACACACGTAAACACTCACTGTGTCTAATTTTCCCTATATCGAACCCATTTCTCACCACAGAGCCTTACAGGAAGCAGTGCTAATAAATGTTGCATAGTGAAATCTAATTATGGGACCCTGTGGGCTTCTCCAACACTATAATCGTTTGCTTTGACACTTTTGGTCTTTGGCCTGCCAAGACCTGCGTGTAATTTAACTATCCTGTCACCCCTAAGGTTTATTATTCATTTCCTCTGAAAACTCTTGATTTTCTGCAAACAGTGTTTTGCTTCTTCTTTCACACTCATGATCCCAGCTACCTAGAGATGACTTGTTACATAAGGGATTGCCATGGTGTGTATTTGCATGGTAGAATCTTGGGCTTCAGAGATGTGGAGACTTAAGAATGTCAAAAGGATATGAACATTCTATTTTAGTAAAAAGCACAACAAAAGTGCCCATTGGGGCTTCTGCTTCAAAAGTACATGGCTTACTTTTGCATTTACTGTGGACATGTAAATGAATTAAAATACATTTCTGTGAGTTAAATCAGCTATTTCCAGAGGCTGAATTATAATGACTGTTTACATAGAAGTTTATCTCAGATCCACCAGGAATCATAGTCCCAATATCATGCACTTCTAACTTCTTGTACAGTGGGTACGTGCTTGTTTTTAAAAACCGATAAATGGTTTATAAAGCTTTTCTTAGAGATCGTACGAGGAGAATCAAATACTATCTGCTTGCAGTGATATTTTCAACATCTCTTCTACAATTTAATGTTTCAGCCCTTTATTTGAAAACAAAACAGTGGTCATATCAGTTGAACAAGCAAGTTGGAGCAGCATATGATGAAAACTCTGCAGAGATACATGAGCAAACACATATGATACAGCCCTATGCATTCATACTCATGGCGACACACACAAATACACTTGGGAGAAAGCAAGTCCACATATCTGAAGCCAAACATTTCCAGTCAGCAAAGTATCGGCAGTACTTAAGTACCAACATCAACAGTGCTACACATAAGAGCAGTGATTTACACATGTTCACATGCCTCCATTTTAAAGAGTAAAAACACTCTTCTTGAGTCCAATGCTCCCCCCTCCCCGCCAGATGGCCACACCCCAAACACTTCCCAGTCCCCTTCCTCCACCCCTGCAATGAATGAAAGAGGGGGTGGGGGTGGGGAGGTAGGCAGCTACAGGCTGGGCTATAAGGGAAGTGTCTCCACAGGAAGTTTTGTTTTGCGTGTAAGGCACTAACACACACCCACAGTCACACTTCAGAATGTAGCTTAACAGGTGTCAGGAAACAAAGCAACTTACTCCATGGCTATTCCAACCGTCCTTGGAGCCAGCCCACCGGAGAGGCCGAAAGAGACCAGTACTGCAGCACACGTGTGCCCAACAAAATACCACCTGCACCACCACATCTCCCCACAAACACACGCTCACACGAAGAACACAAACGACCCATAATGGGACCTTTCCCTAGTGGAACTAGGTCCCTATCGGGGGAGAGAAAAGAGAACCCAGATCAACCAACATGACTCCAAGCAAAGCAGCTTTCTCGATTCCGGGTCACAGACAGCCCTGGGATGCCGGCCACACGGAAACCCCGAGCCCCTGTGGACACGCTTTGTTATCGGTGTCATTGCTCCTGTTGGTTTTGCTTCCGCCCTTTATCATTAGGAGGAGCAATGTCTGTTGGCTGCCCCATGAATACAGGGACGGTGGGGGTCCTGTGACGACCAGGAAGGGGAAATGGGGAACAAAAAGGCATGCAGCATGTTGACACCTGGCTCCAAGTTGGGAGGATGGAGCCCAGTGCTGGGGGAAGCTAACAGGAGGGGAGAGGAACGTGTGTCTGTGTGTATGTTTGTGTGTGTGAGAGAGGTAGACAATGTCTGTGCACACAAAACCTAAGAGGAGAGGCTGAATGAAGGAATGGAGAAAAGGCAGGCTAGGAAGTTCCAGGATCCCAGGAGCAGGGACCACCAGCCCTGCATGGCAGACACCAGAGAGGGGTCCAGAGCGGGATCGAGAGCCCCCTTGACTCGGAGCAGGGCCTCTTGGCATCGTTTCAGTGGCTGCAATAAACCCAGCACCCTTCACTCCTTATTTTAGAGGGTCTCTTTAATGAGACCTCCCCGAGCTAAGAAATCGCTGCCTCTCTCAAGTATATATGTGCATATTTAATACATAATCACACTCCTAAATACACACACCACGCATGTTTATGTAAGTACACGAATCGGGCACCATTTACCAAGCAATGGAGTTAACTACTTGAACACCCACCATCTCTTTCTTTGCTACAGCCTGATTTTTTTTTTTCCTCCAAAGCACTGGTTCCTCCATTTCACAAGCTCATGCCTAGAATGTGAGTGGTGTGTGTGTGTGTGTGTGTGCGTGTGTGTGTGTGTGTGCACGCACTTCCCTTCTGCTCCTCATCCGAGCAAGAGAAGCCCCCCTCCTCGTGCTGTGGCCCAAGTCTTTCTCCCATCCCCGCACAGCATTTGATGGCCAAGCACAGCCCCGTAGTGGGGGTGGGGGGACACAGACCACCCACCCCCATAAAACCTGGCCAGACCCAGAGAGTCCCTCCCCAGGCTGCCCCTGTCACTCACCGATCTGGATATTGTTGGGGAAATTGGCACCTACTACCGCGCCTAGAAAACCGGTGCAGAAGAAGGCGAAAATGTGCTGCATATTCCTTTTTGCATTGGCGAAAAAGAAGCCCAGGTCCAATCATAGATTTAGCGTTTCTCCCCCTTCCCTTTATTCCTCTCTCTGTTCTGCCGGTTCTTTTCCTCCTGCCTTTCCTTGCTTGCTTGCTCGCTTGCTTCCTTCCGCGAGGTTTGTCTGTTTCCCTTGGAATCCGAGCACTTAAACTGCAGCGTTAACACCAACTGACAGCCAGATTAACTGTGCACGGGAAAGAGAAGCCGTCCTCATGCTAGCCGGAGCGCTGGCTCCGCTCGCCTCGCCTCGCCTCGCCTCGCCTCGCCTCTCCTCGCGCAGCCTGCCTCTCTCTCCCTCCCTTGCTCTCGCTCTCCCCCTCACACTCGCACAGGCGGCAGGCTCTGTGCTCATACCCACCGAGCCAGCCCAGAGTTCCACTGCTGACCTCCTCTCCCTGTCACTCCCTGACTCTCCGTCCTCACCTTATTTATCCTCCTTCCTGGGTGCGGGGCCCACGGGTGGGTGGGTGAGGGGGTGTGATACAGGGAGCTTGGTCCTGAAAGTGACAACCCGGCTCGGCCCCTTCATCCCACCCCCAGCCTTTCTCAGCTCTCTGCCCCTCCCCCAACACCCCCCCTCCGCAAGCAGATGCTCCTGGGAATGTGGGTTCAGCTGTAAGTCAGTAGGTGGCAGGGGGTCCCGGCAACGGTCCTCCATCCACCCGCTGCTTGATCTAGGTCACTTTTTCTAGGAGTGTACTGGCTGTGCTGGATATGTCTCCCGCATGCCACTGGCCCAATTATTCCTACAACTAATTCTCCAGGGGAAGACCCTAGAAATCCCTCCTTGGAGTTTTAAAGGTGAAAAAAAAGTCTTCCCCCCACCCCGCCCCCTTACAATGGGAAGAATAACAGAAAGATAAATGGGAGTGTCTGGAATGATTGGCAGGTGCCTTGACTCGGACATTCGGCAGTCCCAGTTTGCCTTTACAAGCAGAATGGATGGTCTCTCAAACCCTAGGCATTGAAAATGGGCCCCCTTCCCTGTTTCCCCGCATTCCACAGGAGACTATAGCATCAGAATGTGTGGGTGTACAATAAAGGCGAAGAATACTTACACAGAGCAATTACATGAGTCACTTTGCAGAGATTCTAGTGAGAGGATTCAGGCTTTTCTCTGTTACATCTGGGTGCTGGTCATTCTAGTGTAAACTGGAACTCCATAGACCCTCCTGGACAGGGGCTTCCATGGAGATAAGCTACAGAGAGAACAACTGTGTTCAGGGAAGTTGCGTGGGTTGCAAAGTGGCAGTCACTACCTGTCATAGAGCACTTCGCAGTTTCTGAAGTAACTTCACAGTGGTACCCTGCTCTTCCTTCACGCCAGCCCTGTGAGGCGGCCAAGATGCTTATTTTACAGATGAAAGAACTGAAGCTCCAGGGATTAAATCAGGAAGACATAGACCTACTAGGATGGTGCCTAGTAGGTCCCTAGGGTCCAACCTACGAACTTGAATGTGGGCGTTACCAACCAATCCACTCACTGCCTTAGTCGGAACTATATCCAACGGTCGATCACCTGGAAAAGGAAAGCCCATTTTTGCTCAGTTAGAAAGAAGGAAAACAGATCCAAATTTTGCTTTGGCACTTGACTAGGCCATTTTATCCAAAACTCTTCACTTCCCTCACATTGCATAATCACACACCCTCACAGGATAGATACGAAGGCTGAGATTTGCAAGAAATATCTGACCGTGTTTGAGGGAGCCCCTAAACTAGACACAACTTAGAGGTCAGAGGCTTTATAATTTCCTATGCGCATTCGCATATATTAATGAGAGCAAGTGATTTTTAAAGCTAATGTTTATTCTTTTACCATGTGCCCAGTACCATGCTAAGCAATATAATGCATCGTCGTGCAATGATGCCTGTGGTAGATAATCTAACCCCCATTTCCTGGATAAAGAAACTGAGACCTAATAATTTACGTCAGGTTCCACTACTAAGAAGGAAGATGTTGGGGATTCGAATACAGGAAACTCTACCATTAAGCCCAAACTCATAAATCCTTAGGCTTGAATAGCAGAAAACACTGGTGTGTAAAGGTCAGCTTGAGAAGATGGGAGAACAGTTCAGGAAAGATCACCTCTAAGGTCCCTGCTGTCGCTAGAAATTTGTGACGTGATGATTCCACCTTAAAATATAATTTCTCCGTTTGCATTTTTTGTCTCTTAACCATTTTGAATGGTACCTGGGGAATCTTTTTAAGTTCCCTGAGTTTCATTCCTGGTAATAATAATAATTAGGCTGTCACTAAAAGCTTCACACTCCTCTGTCACCTTTCAGAGGAAGATCTCAAAGCCCTTTATAAGGATTAATTAGCAAAACCTCAACACCCACCTATATATAATAGGTAAGACTTGTTTTGCTTACTTTTGGGGGAGAGGGGCTTAAAGGAGTCAAAACCATGCATATTCTCTCATCGTTATAGATCACAGAGTCAGATGGATTTTCCTAAAATATAACTCTTACTATGTTATTACTCCGCTCAAATATGGTCAGTGACTCCCCTTGGCCTATTAAATATATATATAGTTGTTCAACAGTTAAATAAACATGGAGGTTACACATTTCAAGTTTGGGCAGCTAGGTTAAAGTACATTTAGGTTCAACTTTTCATCTTTGCATATCTTCAAATATTGGTGGAGAACTTAACTCTAATCGACAGGATGTCAAGTGCTGGAGGATATGGAAAAGAATCAGCCACACTCTCCACCTCAAGGCAGGTGAATGTGGTAGAAGAAAAAGACAGATGAACCCAGTCATCCAAAGCAGGGTGTGACGCGTGCTCTAATAGAGATGTAAGCACAACGCTGGGGAGCAAAGAAGGAAGCAACCAACATGTCTGCCTGTGGGGACCCAGCAAGGCTTCCAAAGAGCTGAGCCGTGAAGCAGGAAACTTCAGGCAGAAAGTGAAGGCGGAGGGAAGAGATGCAAACCAAGGAAAGAGCACTAACAAGGCCTGGAGGCAGGAGAAGACGCCACCTGCTCCAGGAGCCTGGAGCCCGGGGTGCGGACTAGGGAGAGAGGGTGGGGAACATGAACCCTGGAAGAGGTCAGGGTCAGGATTTGAAAGTCACTGAATGTCTGGAAGGCAATGGGGAGCCATGGGGTGTTCTTTAGTGCGACACTTAAACGACCAGGAATGCGCAGGCGGAAGAGGACACTGACCACTGGTGAGTTCATCTCCTCAGCCTCAGAGGTCAGGACCGCGTACCCTACACTCCCCAAATAACTGATTCTGACATCATCCTTCATTAGTTTCTCATGTTGTCTCTCCTTACAGCTTCCAATCCTATTTGCTACCCTCGATATCAGTCTGGGAAGGTTTGTTCACAGTCTGTTGTGACTGATGGCCACCAAACCACACAGATACACGGCACACTGATGTACACAGCATTTGTACATCCATCATCTCATTTCATCCTCCCAGCAACCCCACAAGGGCAGGGATTAGAACCTACTTTAGAGATTAAGTAAAACTCAGAGTGGGTAGGTGGTTAGTTTAAGACAGTGGTTCTCAACGGGCAGCAAATTTCTCCCCCAGGGGATATTTGGCAATGTCTACAGAAATGCTTGGTTCTCACAGCTGGGGAGGTGCTACTGGCATCTAGCGCGCAGAGGCCAGGGATGCTGCTCGACATCGTATGGTACACAGGACAGCCTGCACCACAAAGGGTCATTGTTCCAGAGTATCGGTAGTGCTGAGACTGAAAAGAGGACGGAGCGACGGGCGCACCGGGAGGTAGATACCGGGCCCCTGTTCTCGCCTCCCTCTCCACTACGTTACACTGGAAAAAGGTTCCTCCTTTAAGATTTCTTTATATTTTAAAACGGGATATCTAGAGATGGGTGTTTCTTAAAGTCCAAAGGATGGGTATCATGGAGAGACTCCAGGCAGTGGTCAGGCCAGAGGACAAGCCCTGCTAACGCTGCTCAGATTGTGCCCCACAGACAATGTAGCGCCTACTCCCGAGATCGGTGACGAGCTAGCCCCATTGTATTTTTGACATACTTTAAGTTCCATGACCGTGTAGCCAACATAGCCTAAGATTTACTTATTCGGCTTTGGTTTTACACCACAAATCAAGGAGAATGGTGTTGGGCGGGGATTTCAAATTCACATATCTCCTTGGGCCAAGCGGGGAAATGAATGAAGTAAGCCAATTCGGGGAGAGGGTGGTGAGGACAAAGAGAACTAGAAGGTAGGCACCCTGGAGTTTCAGGGCCTCAATGGCAGCTAATAATTGTCATAAGGAAATGTAGCCCCAGTGTGACCAGATCTTCCGATTGTTTTTTCAAGAAAAAGCAGAAATATGGATTTTATAGGTTTTATTTTTTTTGTTGTTTTTGATTTTGTTTCTTTGATATTAAGTGTTCCTTCATGACAACGGTCAGTAAAAAGGTAGAGGTGAGTGTCTCTGG